ACCCACAAGTCTCAGAGGAGTGACAAATCAACGTGCAAGGGAATGATTGTGCTAAGGAAACCTGTTTATTTTGCAGTCAGTGAACTACGAAGGCCGCAGAGCCATGTCTTGGGGTCACATGTCGGTCTGGGAGATGCCTGCATTCTAAGCATGAGGAATAATCACAAAGGCAAACAAGACCGTTTCCTGCTCTTGTGTTTGGGTTAGATGAGCTAGATACACAGGCCTGTGTAAATACAAGAATATGCCTAAGGAGTACGGACTTAGAAAAGCAGTATTCTTTTTCCCATGTTTGTGTGCTCACGTCACTAAAATATGGTCATGGGATGAGACCTAGATTTGACTTTACCTGTGAATCGACCTTTTCATACCAAACTCAGTTTTATGTTTGTGGCCTGTGAGTATGTGAAACCCTGGAAGACCTTTTACTTAGCTACATTATAGACTGTTGCAATGGCAGCAGTTCAACATCTTGCACGGAAGCCCTTACTCCCTAAAAAACAGGCACAAAATACAGCCTTTTTGATTTTTTGCTTTGATTCAACTACACACCGGGCATCATGATTACCTTTGGATAGTTGCTTTTAAAATTTGTAAAATTCCTAAGCATCATATACCAGTATTTTTACATCTGACATCTGTCAGTAATACTGTTAGATTAATATATGAGCATAACTAACCTCTCAAAGTAAATAGTGAATTCCCTGTATTAAAGAACTAAAAGAGACAAAAGATGCATAGCTGATAGCCGAAATGTGACTCCTTTTTATCTCCCTTTGAAGTCCAAAAGGTGTCTCCCTGGTGCAGTTAAATATTCTGCAGATAACCTTCAAGACAGGTCAGTGTGAGTAACAGGACAGAATAGAAATATGAATCAAAGAAAACAATACTGCCATTATTCAATACACCCTACGTGTGCAACATCTTAGCCAGGCCAAAATGTCTGAGGCTCCTGAGTCGTGAATTGAACATTGTACGTATTGAACCACTATAAAAAAAAAAGGCAGCAAAGAAGAGCACTTCATCACGAGGTAGTAGCAGCAACAAGTGCTTGTTTCTCCTCTTGAGTCAATCCTCCATAATGCAATAAACATTTCATTCGTAACTTCTGACACTCAGTCATCAAAATCTGTCAGGGAAAAATAAGGAACGCATGCGGAGGCTAATTTTGGCTTTGTCAAAGAGCTGTTTCATTTTTCTGCCGTGGTCTCTGAAGAGGCAGAAGACTCAGCCGCAGAGTGGTTGGTAGCTCCAGACAGATTTGAATTCATGTTGTGATCTCTTCACACTTAAAGAGGATCTGAAACCTTTGATGCCATGCAATCGATAAAGCCTGAGATCAAAATAGAGCAGAACGCCAGCAAGCTGCGACACTGTCTCCCCTTTCCTCCTGCCGCCTGCTGCTCTATGGATTTCCTGGCCTGGACTGCTCCCCAGCCGGGAACGCTGAGAGAAGAAAACATCTCATTCTGGATCGTTTTTTTATAGGATCCATAGAAAATGCCTTCCCACCTGAACAACAAGGGGGATGTTGTTTTTAAAGCTGTTAAATGTTTGTAAGGCACTGCGTGTGGATATCTGTAATTGTCACTCAAGTTTATAATTCATCTTATTATAAATGTGATCAGACAGGACTGGAATGACAAGATATATAAATATTTCAACATGACTTCATTACAATGTAAATGTTATATTTATGTATAACATATGTATTATATATAACGGATATTATGTATAACATTTGTGATGGCCTGTTTAGAGTGGGTTGAGACAGCTTTGTAACTTTGCTCACAAGTTTGATTCCATTTCTTGGCCCTTCTGTCAGCGTTATACATTATATAGGCTGTTGAGATTGTTTTTTGCTAGTTCATACAAACGAGTCAGAATGTTCTATTTTTCTATGATGACGTACTGTGCCTTTTGTAAACAAAGAATTCTGATTATATTAAATGTGGCAGAGCAAGTATTTTTCCCAAAGTAGTTTCTCACTTCTCTGGTGTTGTAGAGGGGCTGCTGGCTCATAATGTCCGCTAATGTATGTATGTATAGCACTTTGAGATTCGTTTGGATGGAAAGATCTGTAGAAATTGAAAGAATTATCATTTTTAGTGATTTCAGTTTCAAAAAAGCATTTAGAAAATGAATTAGTATCTTGTCAGATGTACAATATATACAGGCAACAATAATTAACATTTGAAAAAGGGTTAACCTTCTATATATACAATAATACGTCTAAATCTTGACATAAAGTTAATATAGTACAGACAAAAATAGTTTATATTCTTACACTCTAATATAATAATAGGTAATAAGTAATGTTAAGTATTTGACCCAGGTCAGAATTACAAGTTTCTTCTCGGTGTTCAGTACATTATACATCTGTAACTATTTTCACATGTCATTCCATGTTAACAGAGGACAAAAGATACAATTTACAGTTCATATACATGCAGTATGCACTCCTGCATAGGAAATAGCAGAAATCTTATTTCAGACTACTAAATTACCAGTAATGATGATAATTCCATGCATTTATATAGCAACTTTTAGCCCAAAGGATCCTAAAACATTTCCATATAAGAGTTGGTTTGCTTTATCTACATTACCTCACTATTTGCAAAATAAGCTTGTAAGGTTATTTCAGCTGTTAGGAAAATAAGTTTAATTCTATTAGATTTGCACGTCAAGGACGAATGATTCATGAACCTTAAGGCTGCTAATATAAGGTCAATATAGGATCTGCACACTATCTAGCAGGGAAAGCAGGTGTTACCAGGGGACTCTGTGCTGTGCTACCACAGCAAGGTCTTTCACTTTCTTGCTTGCTTTCTCGTTCTGAAATCTTTGGTTATCAAAGTGCTGAACTCTTTCCCAGATCTCCTTCCTCCATCAGTCAATTGTCATAATCTCTCTGGAATTCAGAAACACAATCCAATAACTAAACACTTTTTCCAGAATTCCAATTCAATAATTTCTTTTTTAAATCTCATTGCTGGCACTCAACCTACAGTATGTTTTCCTGAGACCTTTTAGGTCATATACACATATAGTTCCCTCTAATGATAGTCTGTCCAACACAGCTGTACAACAGATATTAAAGTAAATACAGGTACTTACTTAAGTCTCTTTAGACTCTTGCAACTAAAAGCACAAGATGGAGAATTCAATTGTGAGTGTTTATGGTGATCAATTAGTGTTTCCCGTGGAACCAAAATGGCATCCTGGAGTCGCATGTTGCAACCATCAGTTTTCTCTTCAACAAAAGAAAGAGCAGTTATAAATTTGTCTCTGAAGCAAATGCTTTGTTATTGTGGTCTGAGGTTCCTAGGTACAGTATGTGAGGTAGTGTAGCACAAAAAAAAACATACCTTCTGCTTAAATCCCTATACAACATGTCTGGATGTAACCAATCGTATTCCTGGGAAAAGAGTCAAAGCTGGTCTCATCTTCACTCAGTCTGTCTACTCTTACCCATAAGCTTCGGGAGTTTGGGTTTATTTACCACAATGAAGGATTATAGCTCACAATAGCCTATACGTGAAATACAAAGAGGAGGAAAGCAGCTCGAATGCTCTGTTGTTCTTCTCTGCTGCTAAGGAGGTTACAATGTATGAACGGTGTGCTTAAAGGCATGCTTTCATTAGCCTTTAAATCAAGGTGCTAAGACAGGATTGGGCAACATCTCAATATCTAAAACTCAGCATGAGAAAACATCTCAGAAGCAATGGGGGAAAGCACTGCTCTTTTGCATAGCCATTGTTCGGTAGAGGCTGGCCTGAGAGCACTGGAGCCAGATTCCATTTTGTTACCTCAAGACTGTACCAGGGCCAGTTTTTCAAATCTGTAGGTCTTGGTGAGATAGTGTGGTGTTTCAGTAAGGTGGCAAGATCTTCTCAATAGCATTTCAAAAAAAGGAAAAAAGGCATCAGGCTGTGAAGTGTGTCGGGCCACTGAGACTGTCCTCAGACAGCCCTGCTGCTGCGTTGCTGACGCACTGCGAAGCTACAGTATGAGCAGCAGGAGGGGCCTGAGGCTGCACTAGGCTAGCGCCCTGAGCCGCTGGATAAAGCCAAGGTTCTTACAGGCTGACAGTTTCCGGTGCTAATGTAAATACATTCCCAGCAAGTCTGACAGCAGTGTGATTTGCGCTGATGTCTGCAAGAGAATAGTGCGTCGAGCATCCTAGACCTTTCTTGATTGTTGCCAGAGGATAAACAGAAATGCGCACTCTGAAACAGGGAAGCATTAGATCGGTCGCGGAGTCCAAGTCATTCGATTAAGCTTGTTAGCCAGATTAAACTGATGCTTTTTTCCCCACCAGTTTCAATAGCATCTACCTAGAAAGAAGAAATCTGGGGGGTATATTGTCTTAAATGAGCATTCTAGCCTGTGTTGTAATGCCTTTGAGTTTAAGGATGTCCAGTGGGCTTCACTGTTCTGTTGATCTTACAACATTCTCCTTGTCCAGTTTAATCCCCATCATGCTTTCTTGGGGATACCTAACGAATCAGCCGTTTCAGTTCAGTTTTTGGCATATTACACTTAATTTAACATTTTTTGTATTATTTCAGTGAACGGTATGAAACAATCCAGATTTTTCCAGGCATTTTGTGCAAGGGTGCAGTTAAAAATCAAATAAAAATGTCTGAACAGAAAAGTAGACGGAAAGCAAATGCTTTTTCTTTTGTTTTTGCATTTTCCTAGCCACAGTAAGATCGTGATGTATGGTATTTTGAATATATTTTATGCCTGCATTTCTTTCAGATAAATTCTACAATCAAAATTTATTTCTCTGTTTAAACATTAATAAATGCTTTTTCAGGGAATTCTGTGTTCTGAAAATGCTTTTAAAGTGGGTAATATAAATCGTTTTTTGAACCTGAAAGACTTTGTTGACTCCTGCGATTGAAATATTGACATACATCCTTCTTTTTATCAAATGGAAAAAGCCTTACTGTAATTAACCTGCATTTCTGTTTTTCGCTGGTCTTTTTTTCCAGGATATGAGAAAGCATGTCATGATGACACTTCTAGACACCGAACAATCCTATGTGGAGTCACTTCGCACTTTAATACAGGTAAGGAGATTTCTGTCTATTTACCGAGACATCTAGTTCAGTGGTTTCCAGGTCTGTTCCCAGTTAGCCTCTTTCCTCCTGCTTTAGAGTTGTCTTCACCCATGGGCGGACAATTCCATTAATCAAAACATATAAAGCCATTAATTGTAATTGGTAATTTAAGTAATTGGTTTAATTAAATAATGGAGAACTAGGGATGAAAGCTGTCTGGAATCGTCATTGTGAATAATACCGAAATGATTGTGGTTATCTGTGAATCCAACGGGAGACCATACTGGCCATGAACCGTGGTGAGCCTCAGCCACTACACACAGTTTCATATTTCTGTTTACTGAGTGGTTTTAGGATCAGTTTCCTTTCAGGCTTCTTCTGCCTTGGATTTATGTAACAAGGTTGACTAGGAAATGTTTAGCTGCTAGGGTTTAGGAATCTAAATCCTCAGACCTGAGCCATGGGTCACACTGGCTCCTTCGTAAAAAGCCTGCCCATCTGGTCTCAGCCATTTTAGCGCGTATAGAGCTTGTCAGGCTCTTAATATCTATCTCCCTCCTCCAGATTGCAAGCTATTTATGAATGAAATGGCTATGGGACTGCAGAGAAGAGCAAAAGTTAATGTGGTATTAAACATTAACATTTCAGGCACACTTATCTCTTATGCGGCAAGACACTCAAAGGCAGGAACTGTTCATACATTAATATAACAAACCATTGTCCTGACTCTACCATCTGTTGGTGAATTGTGCAGTACATCTTCTGCGTTGGTCAGTCCCTGACATCATATCCTTTGATATACAGTACAGCCTTTTGGGGGTGTTCCTTAACATGTGCAGCCGTAAAAAGGGGAAAAATGCTTCCGTAGACTGACATAATAACATTTATCATGATTTTTAATTCTGGCATTCAGTAGGATGAATGCTTCTGAATCAGGAAGAAATTGCTATAAAAATATTGAAAAGTTTAATCATTGTTGAGCACTGTCAACAGCTGTGTGCTCTTCCATTCTGCTTTCCTGTAATATTATCCGGAGCGAGGAGGCACATACCGTTGTCATGGCTACTGGACAAGAAGCATTATAAAGACTGCTGTTCTGACATCTGAGAATATTATTTCTGAAGACATAATCCAGGTTTATTCACATTTAAAAGAAGTGAGCAATATTTTATCAGTTCACCAGTTTTTATTTTACCATAGGTTAACCTATCTTTGTCTTTAGCCTAAATGGTTTTCTAAAAATATTTTTTTCAAAATGACATTTTTCACTCAAGGCAAAAAATATTATACGAAAGTTTAAAAATAAAGACAAGACTTTATGATTTTTTAACTAAGAGGTCAGACATTGTTGGTATAAAATTGTGATTGACAAAAGGGTGTCTATAAAGACATGTCAAACAAATGTGGCCAATGCAGTCGAAATGAAAAAAATAACCTAGACACTGATTCTCAAGATTCTCAAGTGTATGCCTTAAATATAGAACTGAAGTATAGAAATTCTCAACCATATAGATCAACCTGAGTATGTAAAAGTTTAAATCGCTATACCTGCCTATGGATGTGTCTGCCTACAGTAAGTGAAGCTGAATGATGGTTATTGACCCCTTAAAATAGGCTGCAATCTGTAGAAACGGTAAATATCCATTAACGTAGATCTCCCTGCCCTTCTTTCATGTGAGTCACGTTGGAGCTTCTTCCCACCCTCTTATTTTAAAAACTGACTGTCAGGCAAGAATGGGTTCCTGCTGTTCAGCTAGGAACGAAACCCCTGAAGAGCTCACTTTAGAAACAGGGCTTGTGTAACTGTCAGACACAGTATGAACAGTATGAGGCCTTGACGCTTATTTGTTATTTGTAGTTATTGCTGTTCTTTATTATTTATGTTTATTAATCACCTTTTTTCCCTGCTATGAAATCAGTTTGAATGGAATACCAGGCATGTTCTGGAATGGCTTGCCTGTCGTAAAAGGAAATTCCCTCAATCTCCCATAGCCTTTATTTGAGGTAGATACATCATTGTTTTTATTGTCAAAGCAGTATAGCGAATATGAAGACTAGAGGATATTTCCACATTATTGCTGCCAGACCAGCGCTAGTGGAACCAACCTTAAACAGAACAGAGCATTTTGCCTAAATGACTCATTTGCTTTGAGGACAAAAATAGCTTTTAATGATACAGGCACCTGCTAATGTCGCAAATCGAAGCCCAAACTAGATTTTTTTCATTTAATTTGCTAGACCCTTGATTCCAGGTTGTTCCTTATCGTCTTAATAAATGAAAATGAAAGAAATGCTAAGATAGAAACAGGAAGAAAAGCTTCTTCTCTTACACGTCTCATTATTTTAAACTTGAGAAAAAGGAGTTTGTGAGCTGGGTGTTGTGAGTCCCACTGGGTTATAATGCTACAGTATGCCAAGATTGAAGTTCATACATTTTAAATTCATTTGGCAAATTAGCTCTTCACACTGTCCATCATTGAAACTTATTACTTGTACCCCACGTCACAACCCTCATGTGCTTTCTCCCTCTTTCTGTCTGTCCGTTTTATACCACAGGGATACATGAAGCCTCTGAAGCAGCCGGAAAACTCATTCATCTGTGACCCTTCCCTGGTGGATGAGATGTTCTACCAGATTCCCGAAATCCTGGAGCACCATGAGCAGTTCCTAGAGCAGGTCCTGCTCTGTGTGCAGGACTGGCACGACAAGCAGAAAGTAGGCAGCCTGCTCATCGAATCGGTAAGCAAGCCACAGTGCCCAGCATCACTGCCATGCCCATGGTCCTCCTACATTGTTATTAGTTTGTATTCCTGATGGATAAAGGCATGGATTTTATGGCAGCGTTGCACGTTGTTTTCTGCGCTCATAGGTCAAACAGGACTACTTCCAAAACTGTAATTCGACTTCATGTAATAAAAGGACAACTTTGCTGTGAACTGCGCGCATCGAGTTGTGTGCACAGTGTCTCCAGCCAGGCAAGGGCTTTTTCCAGCGCACAGTGTGGTCTAACAAGATGTCCCAAGTGAGACGTGTGCCACTCTTTCTGTAGCATAGTACCAGTTCAGAAAGGGAGTGAGGTGTTAACAGCTCAGAGAATGCGAATTCCAGACGGACGCATGCTGGAAAATGCATCATCATGACAGGAGTCTTTTCAAAGTTAATTACCCATCATACTGTATGTCCAATTACAGCAGGGCCTTAGAAGCTCACTTCCCCAAGCAGACTGGATGGGTCAGTGATAAATGGAATGGGTACTGGGGATGGAGCCACAGTATCTAAATAGAACTTCGAGCTATCAGTGTCTTGGGCGCATTGCAGCTTAAGTGCATCTTGTTATTTCTGGCAGTGGACTGTTTTATTTGAGTCAGAAGCTTAATGTGACAGTGCCTATACTATTGTCAACTGGCCCCCGGGAGGCCATGCCCTGGAATCCATTTAATGTGGTAACCCTTGCTTTCATGTACCTCTCACTGTCCTTGGACATCTCTCCATTCCCCTTTCTGTCTTTTTTGGTAAAACCCAGGCTACAGGAGTTACCCAAATGGATCTGGAGGCAGAGGAAATCTGATCATATTTCTGTGTTTCAGCACAGGTGTTTAACAATTCATTATATCCAGTATATTTCCTTTTGGATAAGTGGGGCATTTTAAATCCTTGTAGGTTATAGCTCATAGACCCTGTATAGACCTCTGGACCTTGGCATCCTAGATAATGAGCCTCTGTGACAGATATTAAACCTTTCTGAAATGAGGTTAATAAATTATCAGAAATATCCAAAACTGTTTTCAAGATTGCTAGTAAATATCATAAAGTTCCACCTTACTGTCCACAGAATAGAAGAAAGGTCTGTTACTGCCTGGTGTACAGAGGCTCTGATAGATAGTGTCTACATCTGAATAGGAGTGAGTCATTGCTCCATGTGGTGCTTCTACCCCAGTAAGTTACAGAAGTCAGTGGCTTTCTTCCCCAATACACAAAACCTCCTCTTTGTTTGAAAATAAACTCTGGCACTCAAACAGTGGCTCTTCTCCCACAGATCAAAACTATTTCTTGCTTTGGTTTCTCCGTGTTTAACATTCCATTGGAGATTAGGAACACAAATAAATATGCTTGAAGAAAACAAAAATCTGTAAATAGTTTAGGTTGATAAGAGCAGAGAGGATTATTAAACATTTTTCATTTCAGTGCATTGAGATTTTGCGTTGTATGTTTTAATTTTGGCCTTGTTTTGGGAAGAGATTTATAATCTGATTTGTTGAGGAGCGTGTAGAGTACCCCAGTGCTCCTGTATGTCAAAGGAAAGTAATGGGATGTTTAACAAGAACTCATGAATAAAAATCCCCAAGCCTATTAGCATTTAGAATGAGTCCCAGGGCCGTGACGTTCCCGTCCAAATAAGGTTTTTAGCTATTGTTGTAAATGTCTTAGCACTTGAAGGTTTCTGGCTGTTTATTGGTTTTCCATTGTCCACCCTGGCATCCTCTCTATGGACATTGGGCAGCAGTTCATGTAGGGTCACCATAGGGATGACAGGATTGTCTGGAAAGGGTGAATTTCTAAAGAACTTCAGCCCTGGAGGCAATTCTGTTACCATTAGGATTCCTGCATCTTCCATACTCTGCAAACAGGGCTCTGGCAACGAAAGAATAATGGATAGCCTTCCACTCATAACATCCCAGAGGCCTGTTCTGGTGGACAAAGGCTGCAGCCGAGTGAAATCTTAAGCTGTGTTGGTCTCCATGCCATTGGGTCTTGCAGAAGTCGCTGTGTTCTCAAGAACAAAACCATGCATATTCTTGTGTATGTTCTCTGACGTCCTTGGCAAGACAACCATGTCTAGGAGCTCCTAGCCATGACCTGGCACAAAGGCAGCTGTCAAAAGTAGGTCGCCAAGCACTTGAGTTGGGGCGCAAGTGTGTTTTGGCAGCTGTACCCTTAGGATTTGCTGTGCTCACTACTTCTGGGAGAGGCCAAGAAGAGGAACCCTTAAATACACTGTGCTTCTACACTCCTGACTGGATATCCGCATCCGGAAGCATCACCTTTTTAGCGGTAAAAAAACACAAAAGAGAGTATTAAATAGTCTTTGGAATATCGGGATCGTCCAACGTTAATTTCAGGTGTTGGCTTTTAGTTTTTTCCTTATTCAGTAACATTATCAATTCTTTATCCGGGGGCAGTGCGATGGCTCTGTGGCTAAGGATCTGCGCCTGTGGCTGCAAGGTTGCCGGTTCATATCCCGCAGCCAGCAGAGGAATCCTACTCCACTGGGCCCCTGAGCAAAGCCCTTAACCTCCGCTGCTCCAGAGCTGCCGTATAAATGGGTGACCCTGCGCTCTGACCCCAAGCTTCTCTCCCTCTCTGTGTGTCTCATGGAGACCACATTGAGGTATCCAAAAAGACAAATTTCTAATACAAGAAATTGTATATGGCCAATAAAGTGATCTGATCATATCTTATATCAATTCTTTATCCCTACCATGTTGTTGTATTAACTCTTGTTTAATTGTGTGAAAGTGTAAATGACAAGATAGTGTATTATTGTAGTGATGTGCTACAGCCCGATGGCCACTGCACCTTGAGAGCTGGGCTCCATGAAGAAGAGACAGGCACTGCTAGTACAAAAAACACAGCCCAGCCCAGCCCAGCCCACAGTTCCAGAAATCATAGGCAAGCTAGCAGGGTTGGAAACCCTGGAGTCATGAGGAGAAAAGCCAATCTAAATCTTGAATCACGGTCGGGGAAAACTTAAAGGAGGTGGACATATAGCGAGCTTGGGAAAGAGCAAGCAGAGCGAGATCTCTAGTAGGACAAGCAAGAGCTTGGCTGAGACAGCGGAGAACCCAATCACGGAGCCCTGAGCATGGGCTCAGTCAGGATTTAAATACAGGAGCAGATGAACACAGTTAACAAGTGATTACGTCATTAATGAGCAGCAGGGGGAACTGAAAAGCCCCAATTTCATGTACTGACAGCCCCAGTGGATGATTTGGACCACGTGGAGATGTGGCTGTTTTTGCTGGAGCAATATGTGGGTGTGAGCCGGTATTTTTGTTTTTTCAAAAAAGATAGTCCTTTGGAACTGAATAATCAAAAGAATCCTTGAGACATCAGACTTATCTGGGAGAAGGTTGACATTCTTTCAATATGAGCATCATTTTTCATCCATCTCTTTAAATGCAATTGCTTGTATAACTGCTGCTATTGTGAAAGGAACATTTAGATAGATTTAAAACCAATCGATTTTATCAGGTAACCAGTTCTGCCTGCCATTTTAGTACAGAAGCTTACTGAGAGCCTTTTTTGTTGTGTGCAAATTACCTGTACTTGATATGTCATTACCAGACTGGTAATATCTAACACTTCATATTGCTTTAACAGCTCTGAATCAAACATGTGGCTTCTGCTTCAGATCAAATAAAAAACATTTATAATAGAACAGTTGCAAAGTTTCTGGCCCAAATTCTGTATGTTTCTTGTTGTAGCATTGTTGGCATTCTTAGCTCAAGAGAAACTGTTTCCGATCAAGCTGAAGTTGACTTTTTATTTTTTCTTCAGCGGGCTTTTCTGTTTGCTTATATAAAGTCATGAAATGGAATGCGACCTTTTTAAATCGGCGTTTATGGTTTGATCTTTGAAATGTTGACGTAAGATTTCTGGCTCTGAAGAATCCCACCTCAGAGCTTGGTTATTTTGCGCCTTCTTGCAAGTGCTCCCAATGACGTGATCTTATGACATCGGGGGCCTCGGAGAGCAACCTGAGCCCACCTTGAATGTTTTCTCCACTGCGTGCCTGTGTTGACGTACCAACATGATGGCACACAGCGACATCCTTACCTAGTCCTGCAAGGAATTAACGGCTGAGAGGAAAACAAATCATCATGAATCATGAATCTGTGCTTTCCCGAAAGAATAAATACAGCTGTCGGTTGCTGTTTCATAATTACATTTACACTGTAGAGAGGGGTAAAGCTCTCCGAGGGTGGAGGGAAGTCTCTGTGAAGCTTTGTTCATTCATTAAATATCATTAATGGTTTTTTCCCATGTTTGAAGTGTTCATAGTTGTCGAATTGTTGCGGTGGGTATACACTGTGGGCCCTGATGGGGTTGAGACTGGAGAGAATTCTGTGCATTTAAAAAAAACTGTTCTGAAGCCTATGCATAGTAATGGCTATAAATAAAGACCATGTTTCATAATTTTCAGCGGGCAATATTTATCCTCTTTTCTTGGAGAGAATGAAAACGTTTCTTGATTGTGAAGTCATCAAAGACTTTCACTCTTCTTAAAAGCTCCACTTAGAAAAAGCTTGAGCTTCTAAATTTGTCCAGGCACACAAATGAATTAAATGTTTCTGTTGTAGATGTACTTATATGGTAGGTAATAGAACAAATAGTGTTCTTCAGGCAACATGGAAAAAGATTATAGAGGATGAGGCCAGCAGATAATTCCCTCTTTATGAGGTAGTCAGGTGGAGATTATGTATTGAGAGCTATGATCCTTCATAAGGCAGGCTCAGTATTACTACTACCATGACATGCTCATTACTGGTAATGGTTCAGACATGCTTTACTGTTACATTCTGTGCTGTGGTGTTGTAGGCAACTGGGGGGAATGTTTCTGCGAGCCTACCACCTCACATTTGCATTCATGGGTCCACTCATGTCCTTAGAGGCAGGAATTGAGTTACCTTGAAAATCACTACAAAAGTGTAGGCCCATTCACCCTGAATGTTGGAAGTGTGCAACATCAAAAGAGGTCAGGAGTATATCTGTTCTTCCAACACAACCTGAAGTTAGGTGTTATAATGTATATTCATTGTTCTGCCTCTTAAATCCTCCCTTTAGGTCAGTAATTAAAAGGAAAACATCTGAACATGCATATGAGTCTGAGAACAGCACTTCTTTAAAAAAGCACAGTATTATTTCATGACGTTTGTGGTGGAGAAAAGTCATTCATCGTTATCAAAAACGCATGTTCTTCTGTTATAGTTTTGAATAAATGTCATGTTTTACTCATAACATAAAAATGTAAGCACACATTCGTTATCAGACAGTGGTTTCGGTAGCTTGCCGACTGATAATGCACCTCATTTACACCTCATTTAACTTGAATAAAGCTGTGTGGCTTGCTTGTCTTCTTTTGAACAGTTCTCCAAGGACATACTTGTGAATATTTATTCAGCATACATAGACAACTTTCTGAATGCCAAAGACGCCGTAAGAATAGCCAAGGAAGCCAAGCCTGCATTCCTCAAGTTCTTGGAGGTGAGTTGGGTTTACTTGTCCCTGGTCTGTGCCTTGATTGGTCATAGGCTTTTCACCACAGAGTAAAAAAAATCAGTGAAGGGTTCAGTTTTTTTAAAAGGAAAATGACATCACCCGTGGCTTGTGTTGAGTTGAATATTGAAAGGAAGGTGCTGTCAGCAAGTAGTTTGGCATTAATCTTCATTATTTTAATGTGCGTAAACGTACTGCCTTTTTTTTTTGCTTGTGAATGTTGATTGTGAACGGGTTGGAATGGAAAGGATTTTAAGTGCATACGAGGGCTGTTGCAGATTGATGTCTGGTTTTGCTTGAATATATTTTTCATTCTTCACTTTCAAAGTAGTGATGGCTTTTGGTATTGGTACTGCAGAGCTGGATCTTGTCACTCTTTGTTTGACAGTAAATCCTTCCCAGCAAAACTATGAACCTGTTGAAACCTCTCTTCTTGATGCTAAATATTTGGAGTTTTCTTGACAATGATTCACTCACTATTTTTTCATCTTAACTAAGGAGTAATTGCACTCAAGTCGTTTCTTAAATGTTCATAAAACCGTTAATCTGGTTGTAATATTCTGTTCATGTGTGTGCCACCTACTGGACATCATTGCAGTAACATACACCATTGTGCAGTACACATTTCTTCATTTGCTGGATATTTTTATCTATAACCCACTCTCAAAATGTTAGGGTTGATTGCAAAGTAAGGGGATTATAATAGATTGCGGGCTTCAGATGACAGAGTTTCATGATAATCACAAGGTAAAAATAAATAAAATTACTACATTACTTCACCAAACATCTTTTTACCTATGTCTCTTTGTTCTTCTCCAAAGTCTTTGGAGAGGAGAAACACTGGAAAGCCAGCGGTTTGCCCTAATCAGTGGTTGGTTTGCCTTGTCAAGCAGTGTTTGACTCTGCTTTGAATATCGACTGGGGCTCTTAGTCACAGCGTGCCATAGAAGCCACAAGTCCAGCTTTTCCTCTGTTGTTTTCTCTTTCCCATCGCCAGCAATGTACAAGGGAGAACAAGGAGAAACAAGCTCTGTCAGATCTGATGATAAAACCAGTCCAGAGGATCCCCCGCTACGAACTTCTTGTGAAGGTGAGTCCGCCTTACCCGATGGAGGACCAAGTTTGTCTTGCCAAAAGCAAAATAAACAATCTACGAGTCCCCCACTCCACACTTTTTTTTTCTCCAGCTATGCTTCTTATGAATCTTTTCACATAAATAATAACTGCGAAAATGGTATGGCTCCTATAAACAGCTTCTGAGGAGAGCTGTGGATTGATTTTTTTATTCTTTTGAAGACCTACTGAGGTTAAATCATTGTTGCCAGGAAAGATTGGTCTCTGACGTGCTGATCTGTGACACTGAAACATCTCAGAGGTGCTGGATCTCACTAGGTGCTGTAGTATACATAAGGCAGCTGTGTAGTCAGGGCAATCTGTCTCCTCTTGGTCCTTTCATTTTCTCTTGGGGAATGTCAACTGTGGTGCACATGAACTTGCTTGACTTGCAGCTTAGTCATCTGCAAACTATTCCTGTTTTCCTGGATTATGTCACCGGGCATTCACTCCTCGCATTGCATCTGGGATTAAGTGTGATGATTGCAGGGTAATCTAAAGTTACAAAAGATGATTGTGAACATGTGTGACCTATATTTCCTTTTTTGTGAAGAAAAATATTATGATCATTATGGGTAGAAAGGGACATGTCTAGTGCAGCGGATAAGGAGCTTATTTTATCCTTATTCCATCTTTGTACTGTACATTGCCTGTAGGTTTTGCCAGTAAAACAAAATGTAGGTATCTTGTGCCCTTAAGGTCGGCTGTATTAATATCGTGATAGCAATATGGGACAGAAAAAACAATGGATGGAGTATGAGCGAGTCGCTCAATCCTCATACCTGATGGTAACAGGGAAGTCAACTGAAGAGGCAGAAGCGCTGAGCTGTAATTCTTGGTGAAGTCTGTCATTGATTAGTTCAGAGGTTTTCTTTGTTTTCCACATCCGCTATAGATTACATTAACCACAGAGCACATGTCCTGGAGTGTGGTTACAGCCTGGTTATATATGGTATTCATTGTCTCATGGAGTTTCTGGAAACTAGTCCTTTTGGGGTCGTGAAAATATGACGCGGGGCCACAAAGTGAAATGAGTATGAAGACTAACCCTTAAAAAAAACAATAAAAAATGTTCCTTAAAGGGCCCTGCGTGGTTATTTAATGTGTGTAACAGGCCGAACAGGGTAACATGGAATGGTACAAATTATTCCTTAGTCTGCCTAGAGTCCGGTCATGAGTGAGCAGGGCTAAGCCGTAAAGCTGCAACTCGACAGGAACGAACTGTTCTCTGCGTCCCGCTATTTTGTGCGACACCTCGGGTTCCTTCAGTACCGTTCTAGGCTGCAGGTCGGCTCGCGGTGGGGGGGATGCGTCTGACGGCGGCATGTGTGTGTTTTTGTGTGGACGGCAGGACCTGCTGAAGCACACCCCGGAAGACCACCCCGACCACCCCTTCCTGCTGGACGCCCAGAAGAACATCAAGAGGCTGGCCGAGAGGATCAACAAGGGCCGGCGGAGCGCGGAGGAGGCCGAGAAGGAGACCCGAGTTCTGCAGGAGGTCGAGGCGCACATCGAGGGGGTGGAGAATGTATGGCTGCCACCCCACTCCCTCCCCTGTCCTCCCTCGTTTCTCATCCCTTCCCCTTCGTCGTTTCATCTCTCTGCCCACTGTAACAGGCCAACCGGCCGGATGCTCTCCTTCAGTAATCCAGCCGGTCCAGAATACCACTCTTCATGTCACAGGGAGTGGGCAGATTTTGGCTTAAATTTTAATCCTCAGCGTGACTGACAGCCGTGGGCTGTTGTAAATCAAATTCAATTGAAAGTGGACCAGTAATTGTTGTCTTGATGAACAAGTTGGCTGTGGCTGGCAGGCAGCTGGCGCTCAGCGTGTGGTTTATTGACCCAGTGCTGTTGGATATGCTGTTGCTTCCTGATCTAGACTGCTCTAGGCACGGTCAGATATTTTCTGTTAGGCTCCACATTTGCCGGCATCAAAGGTAGAGCCACTCAAAACATTCATAGTTTTAGTTTTCAGTGGTGGTCACCTTCCATTAAATACACAAAAAGTTTAAACCAAAAAAACAGCACGTGTGATTTACCTCAGTTCTGGTTGGCTGTGCTTGTTGAATGAAAAATATATGCAAGCTTAATGCTGTAACGAGACTGGGATATTTTTCCAAACATCCGAATAATGTTCACCTGGAGTGGAGTAGAACTGTCTTCCCCACCGTTCTTGTGTTCCAGCACTCCAAGCTGAGTTATTGTTGAATTAAATTTGGATTCATCGATGCAGAACATGATTGTTGGGGATTTAAATCTTTTGGCTTTTAATATGTGCAAGGTGATGCTGAGATACCTTTCTCGTTTATAGCTTTTAAATCCTCAGAGGAAGTTTCTAAGGCAAGAGATGGTGGTGGAAGTGGTAAGAACATTTTCCTTATTATAGTTTCTCTGCAGAGTTCTATGCCCTCCTGTTCTTAACATTGGATTACAGGTGAATGCACTTCATCTGTAAGGCTGGTAACTTATTTCTTCCCTCTAGATCACAAACAGCTGTAACCTGTACTAATGCATTCCTAATGTTTTAATACATTCCTATATTTTACTTCATTCTTCATATTTAAAATAAAACTATATATGGACAATAGAGAGTAGTTGGAAAACAGAACGAACCCATGTCTTTCTGGACTTTATTTTACATATTGTTATTTCAGGAATGTGCATACCTAAATGTACTTATCTGGAAGTCAGATTTTATAGTTTTCAAACGTTTACCCAACCTTTTAAAGTAATTTTCTAATACAATTCCAGTTTCCTGTCTGTGGCGTGTGTTGAGATAAGGAACAGGCTCATACTGAGCTATTGTGAGATGAGTCTTTTTGTGTATGTGTGTACAGTTTGGAGGAGAAAAATGTTTTCCTTTTGCTGATAATACAATGCATTTAACACCGCTCTGCGTATTGCAGAAGACTGTGGGTGGCAAGAAAGACCGTTCCTTGTTCCTGTTCAGTGACTTGCTGATTTGCACAACATTGAAACGGAAATCAGGGTCCCTGCGTCGCAGTTCCATGAGTCTGTAAGTGACTCTGTTTTTACCTGAATGATTGAGTTGGCCTAGGTAGAAAGACGAGTTTGATTTTTGATTTTCCCTCGATCTCACTACTACATATTTATTTTTCCACAATATATTTGTTGTTCCTGTTGTCTACATTGTGTCGTGTTGTCTGTTGTGCTGTGTGTGTCCAGAGAGATCAGCGGGATTAAGAATCCCCATGTATGTACGTGTAAACTACTCTGCTCTCTCTACTCTCTTTCTCTTGGTTTCTGTAGAAGAGATTGGTAGATGTGCAAATGATTTTCTCGTTTACTAACTGATGACAGATTGCTTTACAGTTAGCAACTCTGACAAATTCCCTTGACAAACACTCCAATCTCCGAGTGAAGGAAACATCGTTAGTAATTGAGATTTTGACTTTTAATCTCATATCCCTACCTCAGATGAATGATTACCACGGGACTGTCAATTGTACATTGGTTATAGTCAAACTTTAATTGAACTGTGGCGTGGGTTCAGGCTATTCACTGCCCTCCTTTTTGACAGATTGGCCTAAATGTGAGTTTAGCAGGTCTTTCTCATCTTACTTACAGGTCAATCCAAATTTATTGGTAGCAAACAATTGCAGCTACATGTTAAAATCTAATCATGATCAGAGATATGAGTATCCTTTAATGCAGGTGAAGTTTCCCTAATTGTGCCATTTACATAAGTAAGTTCAGACCATTATGCTGCAGAGTGAACTAATTGTGATGCCTCCCGAACCCTTCCAAAATCACCAACATATTCTCCTTCTCTTTTTAAGCAAATATTTTCTTTAATAGAATAGTTTGCCATATTTGTTCAGAACCCATCAGGATTAATGTGTCCCATGCAAAGCAAAGTGGCTGTATCATGTTTCTTCTGTTTCCCAGTCTCCCAAAGTCTGTCAATTTAAACCACTCGGCTTGTATAAGGAAATGTAAGCACTGGAAGAGCTGTGGGGCACATGCATTATTCACGATACTCTTTTTAAATCATTCAGCGCAGCAGGGCTCCATCTAGTGGTCATTCCTGGTAATTGTATTATTTTCTTCCTCTTTTTTTTTTAAGTTACACGGCGGCAAGCGTCATTGACACCTCGAGTAAATATAAGTTCCTTTGGAAACTGCCTTTAGAAGATGTGGAGATGGTTAAAGGTAAATCGTGCTTTATGTAGTTTACTAGATAACAGTTTCTCAAACAGTATCCAATGTGACGAACTCCATTGTTTAGTGGGAAATGGAAACTGATTTCAAGAACTTTGTTTCAGAGCTTGAAAAAATAAGACTTTATGTAACCTTACAATTTACACTGCCTGTCTGGAGGAGACCATCATTCTTGAGAACTGCTAAAACTTATTGATGCTTTCATCCACTGCTTCTGTTGTCTACCTCAAAAACTTAAGGGCCCAAACACCGTTCTGGGCAATGCTAAACGATAAGTGCTAATGACTCGGGGAATCAAGTCAAGAAAATGAAGCAGGAGCCCAGAGATGTTTGTTTGAACCTGTGTCTCTGCCCTCTCTCCCCGCCCTCTTGACAGGCACGTCTCAGGCCACCAATCGGGAGAACATTCAGAAGACGATCGGGAGGCTGGATGAAGACCTGAGCACGCTGGGTCAAATCAGCAAGCTGTCCGAGACCCTCAGCTTCCCTCATCAGGTGAGGATCATGACCGTGTGGAGCAGACAGTGCAGTACACAGCCGTTAAATTAAAAGGGATGACCCCTGCTGGTCAGAGGTGCCCGTAGTGCTGTGGTAAGTATCCTTCCTAGGTTAACGAACAAAATTCTTTCCAAAAAATGTATTCGTAATTCGAACATGGAAAATGAATTTCCCTACGAAGATTACATGTACAGTAAATCCCTCTTACTGGTTTCCAAATTCCTTACAATCACAAATTTTACTTTTGTGAAGTGCAAAAGAATTATAATGACAACCATATTACTTTTTAATGCAAATTGCTGACCTTTAAAGGCCTAAGTATCCTAACAGACCACTTTCTGTATGTTAAAAGATGTTTACATTGACAGTAGTTATGGTATTTCAATAGTGCAAAAAAACATAAGCAATACATGCAACAATTTTCTTTAATAAAACCTTAATTATTATAATTATAATAGTAGATGATGACTTAGTGGTCTGAAATTGTTTATTAGATCTATGTTAAGCACTGAAGTGTATTTCTCCACCTACGGTAGGGTGCTCACCAATGAATAAATAGGGAGGTCACTATTACACTTGATACAGGTTTGTATTTTCTAAAAAATGTAGAGTATAAATTTGCAATTCCTAATATGAATGTAGTAGAAAATATAGGATGCTTAAACCTATGCTACACACTGAAATCAATTCCTCCACCTATAGTAGGATGCTCACCAGTGAAGGATTTTTGTGCGCTGTAGTGAAAACATGTCAGTTCTTCAAAACACGGAATAAAGTTGCAGCGTTTGTTGTAGCAGAAATGTATAATAATAATTGCTTACACCTATATAGTGCTTTTCTGGACACTCCACTCAAAGTGGAGGTAATTTACAGGTAATGGGGACTCCTCTCCACCACTACCACCAGTGTGCAGCATCCACCTGGATGATGTGACGGCAGCCTTAATGCACCTGAACGGTCACCACACACCAGCTATTAGTGGGGAGGAGAACAGTTATGAAGCCAATTCATGGATGGTGATTATTAGGAGGCCATGATTGGTAAGGGTCAATGGGAAATTTGTTTAGGGGTTACACCCCTACTCTTTTTGAGAAATGCCCTGGGATTTCTTATTGACCACAAAGAGTCAGGACCTCGGTTTTCGTCCCTCATCCGAAGGATGGCGCCTGTTTACAGTATAGTGTCCCCGTCAGTATACTGGGGCATTAGGATCCACATGGACTGCGCGGTGAGCGCCCCCTGCTGGCCCCACTAACACCTCTTCCAGCAGCAACCTTAGTTTTTTTCCCAGGAGGTCTCCCATCCAGGTACTGACCAGGCTCACACCTGCGGAGCTTCAGTGGGCTGCCAGTTGTGAGTTGCAGGGTGATATAAATCGAGCGATGCCTGTAGAGTATTGCCCTCACCGGGGGTCTGCCCCTCTTTGTTGCGGAGGGCACAGTTTGTGCTCAGGTGAGTCACCACAGTGAATGATTCCCTGAAGGGCGAAGTGGGATTAACCCGCTGTGTTTGAACTCAGGGCCTGGATGATGTGATCAGGGACCTGATGGCTGCTGTTCATCGCGAGCTGGCAGAGAAGCAATCGCTGTCCTTCAGCATGACCTTCCTGCCCACGAAGGTGGAGCTGACCACCGCCTCCGCCGAGAACACCTTCGTCTTTGAGTTCACTGGACCGGAGGCGCGGAGCAACTTTGAACAGGCCTTCGAGGACGCCAAGAAGAAACTTGGTACTTGGGGATTCGGATGTAAAAGCAAGGAAATACTAGCAGCTTTCTCAAGAAGACAGATTAGGGAGCATAATGTCTTTTCTTTCCCCTAGAAGTGGTTAGACAGCACTGTATACTGTATATTAAAAATAAATCCTGCTCACATTGTCTGAAGCTGTAAGTAAGGCCATTCTAGATCAAGGAATTCTAGATATTAAGTGGACCACATGATTTTATAACTCTCTGTCGTGATGGCATGGAGGTCCAAAATTGTTGTTTTTTTTCCCTAACATCTTTTTGTGCACTGTTCTTTTCAAGCAATGAATAAAGATTACTGGGATCCAGAATTTCTGAAAGCTATTCCAATTATGAAAACCAGAAGCGGAATGCAGGTGAGTTTGTGTCAGCTCTGATTGCCCTGTTTGAGAAATTGAATTTATACTTTTTTGACAGTAGTGCTGTTTGCAGCTTAACTAGTGTCACTTCACAACAACAGACTTGCAATATGTTGCAACAGGGTTTCACAGTAAGACAGGGGGAAAATGAGTCACAATGTTTCCTTCAGATACATAGATTAATGTGTAATGTACAGAAAAATTATTTATTGTGTAAATACTTGAATAACATAAAAACGCATCTGATTCACCTCTTCATTTGGTGGCTGATGTTTCTGAAGGCTCTGCTCTAAAAAAAAAAAGACAGGCACTGATTGTGTAATGGACATGTTCTCTGTAGTGAAGCTCTGCCCACTCTCACTGGTCCTCCCATTTTCTCCTCCAGTTTTCCTGTGCGTCTCCCAGCCACAGCTGCCCAGAAAACACCTATGAGGTGTGGGTGTGTAACAGCGATGGCTATGTAGGCCAGGTGTGCCTTCTGAACATCAAGGATGAGCCCACAGTGGAGGCCTGCATTGCTGTCTGCTCAGCCAGGATCATCTGCATCTCTGCTGTTCCAGGGCTCAAGGCCAGGTGTGTCTGAGAGGTTACAGTGCTCGCCTCTAGATCTACAAATTATAATCCTTACACTTATATAGCACTTTTCTGGACACTCCACTCAAAGCGCTTTACAGGTAATGAGGACTCCCCTCCACCACCACCAGTGTGCAGCCCCACCTGGATGATGCAACAGCAGCCATAGTGCACCAGTACACACACCACTCACCAGCTGTCAGTGAGGAGGAAAACGGAGTGATGAAGCCAACTGATAGATGTGCATTATTAGGAGGACGTTATTCTTTCAAGATTCACTGATTTTTCTACAAAGCTAGCATCAAACAAAAATGTGTTTTTTTTGGCTATATTGTGATGTGTTTTGTTTTTGTGCTCAACATTTTTTTGGTGTCGTGGTAAATACAGAATTAGTGAATTGTAAACAGGAGACCGGCATCTTTGAAGCGATGTCTTCAATTAAAACGTCAGTGTCAAAATGAAAGAAAAATTGCACGTTATGCTTTCATGGGCCACTTCTGTGTATTAGCGTTATTAGGTTCTAAGGGACTAGATTAACATTTCAGCAGAAGACTGTATTCCGCAAGCACTAATTGGGTTCTAGTGCTAACTAGATGTTGAAGTGCCAGGACACTGATTGATTGTCAGTGGCTCAGCTGAACGGGGGCAGCAGCTGCAGTCTGGAAAATATAGGTCTATAGTTTGTCTTGTGTGCTCACATTTTACCCCCCTCCTCCCAGGGATCGAGGGGAGTCTCTGCTTAGCCCACCCCCGCCCGAGCCAGCACCTGTTCCCTCGGAGCAGAACCTCCACATCTCCATCTCAGGCTCGTCCCTGGAGCTGGTGGGGCCCCCCCGAGGGCGGGGTCGAGAGCTCGTGCCCTTCGACAGCGACGACACAGATGACGAGTCCTCGCCCAGCCCCTCCTCCACCCTCCAGAGCCAGGCCAGCCGCTCCACCATCTCCTCCAGCTTTGGCAGTAAGTGAGGAGAGAGCTCGTGCTCCTGTGTTCGACAGCCTCTTTCACCCCACAGCTCCTCCACACGGAGTAGCGGGGGGCTCGGTTCTGACATTCAGCCTCCTAGAAGCTTCTGTAAAAGAAAATCGAAACTGAAAACTGTACTACCTGAAGTGAACTGAACTTCCTGAACTGTACTCCCGCTATCATGTGGAAATATGTGGATAATACAGTCCATCCCACATGGAATGGGTAAATGTTGTACAAATTCAACATGGAAGATTGCTTATAATCTGAAATGTAAAATGAATCAATTTTCAGGCCTGCTTGAGACAAAAACCACCAGATAGAACATACTAAATATTGAGAGTAAAAGGAAATTAAAATGTTTATTAAGTAAAGGAAGGAAAAGAGATGTGTAAAGGAAATGAAATGATGGAAAAATGTATAAAATTTGGGGATGGTGAGAGAAATACTGTATCCTGTCTTGGCCATACCACTGTTTTTTTTTCTTCATTTGTAATTAGAATAATTTTTATTTAAAATTCAGTTGAAAATGTTAAAGGAGGCATTGTATTATTGTTATAGGGACATTGCTTTATTTCTTAGAGTTTTGTCAGGCATGTTGTCCTCTGAAGCGCTGCAGCTCTCTCGGTCTCCTTTGCCCTCGTTGCACCTTGTTCTTCCGATTCCCCGCCATCCCACCCTGGCTTACTCTCCCCCCTCCTTCCAGATGACGAAATGGTTGGCTCCAAAGAAATGACGACCGAGACAACGAGCTCGGAGGAGGAGCAGGAGTTCCCGTCGGTGGCCAGCTCGTACGGCCCCCCTCGGCTCAGCAGCGACAGCCCCATGGATGGCCGGGCCATGAGGCGCTCCAGCCGGGGCTCCTTCACTCGTGCCAGCTTGGAGGACCTGCTCAGCATTGACCCCGAGGCCTACCAGAGCTCCGTGTGGCTGGGCACCGAGGATGGCTGGTACTGCCTGGGTTTCGCCCACTTTGGCTCGTTCTTTCACTTGCACAACGTTCACTCTCGCTCGGTCACTCACACAGATACTCCGTTCGTGCCCTCACTTTGTCCCCCGCACGACTCCTCCGTTTGCGCCCTCACTCGGTCACTCTCGCAGCTACTCCATTTGCTCCCTCACTCAGTCACTTGCACGGCTGCTCCCCCGTGCGCTCCCTCGCTCGGCCACTCGCACGGCTCCCCCGTGCGCTCCCTCGCTCGGCCACTCGCACGGCTCCCCCGTGCGCTCCCTCGCTCGGCCACTCGCAAGGCTCCCCGAGTTGCTCCCTCGCTCTTCCACTCACACGGCTCCCCAGTGCGCGCCATCACTCTTCCACTTGCTTGGCTCCCCAGTGCGCTCCCTCGCTCGGCCACTTGCACGACTCCCCAGTGCGCGCCCTCGCTCTTTCACTCGCACGGCTCCCCAGTGCGCGCCCTCGCTCTTCCACTCGCAGGGCTCCCCC